GCCGCCCGATGCCCAGCCAGTCCCCGAGCAGCGGCCAGCTTTCCCCAGTTTATGTACTGAGCATGACATCACATGGTATGGAATGTTTCTTTGGCCAGTTTGGCTGTGCCCCCTCCCAGCTTCTTGTGCACCTGCAGCCTTCTCAGTTGGTAGAGCATGGAAAACTAGAAAGTCCTTGGCCAGTGTAAGCATTACCTAGCAACAACTAAAACATCGGTGCCTTATCAATTTTGTTCCCATCCTAAATCCAAAACACAGCACTGTACCAGCTACTAGGAAGGAAATTAACTCTATCCCTGCCGAAACCAGGACAACTAGATATAAGGAAGAGAGTTTTTACGCTGAGGGTGGTGAAACACTGGACCAGGCTGCGCAGAGAGGTGGTGGATGCCCCATCCCTGGAAACATTCAAGGTCAGGTTGGACAGGGCAACCTGATCTAGTTGAAGATGTCCCTGCCCACGGCAGGGAGTTGGACTAGATGACCTTTAGAGATCCCTTCTGACCCAAACTATTCTATGATTCTATGATCTGCATCATGCATGGGTGAAATCTGTGAACAAGCCTGGTGGGGAAGAAAAGTAGTGCCTGTATTGTTAGGTTCAATAATCCCTGATGGGCGGCATTTCGGCCAGATGAACATAGAACAGCGTCATTATCTCTGTGGCATAGTTCACACCTAGCTTGTTGCCCTGGCCAGGTCAGCTGAAGCAGCTCTCCATCCTCAAGGTGGACCAGAATCGGCTGACAGAGGTGACAGAGTCAATTGGGGACTGCGAAAATCTGTCAGAACTCATCTTGACAGAGAACATGCTGACAGTAAGTACACCAGCAGCCACCCTGCCTCTCCTGCACTGTTCAGTTTAGCCACATGCCAGCGATCTTTTCCCATCCTTTGGCCTCTGAGCCGGATTCCTGAACATGCTCCATCTGCTCTCCCTTCAGCTGCTTTGATGCACAGAGTTTCACCTAGCTCACAGGCTCTTGAGAAGATCCTGGTGGAAGCTGCTTTTTCTCACTGTTTTTTTTTTCTCTGAAAAATTCTCAAGGATAGGTAGGATGCTGGCTTTAGGATAGCCAGTCCTGAAGCCCTTCCAATCTGATGAGAGCAGCACTACATCAAAAGCTGCATTTGGCGAGGGGCCATGGAGTAGTGTAATTTAAAATGGCCCTGCTCCAAACTGCTCATGATTTGATTGTTAAAACTCCAGTATCAGGAATGGACAGATGAACAGGAGAAAGATCTTGACCAGTGGCGTTCTGAGTGTGCTGTGCTGAGGTGAAGAGTTGGCATGTAACAGTCTGTGAACCTGAGGGAAAATCTGTCCCAAAGTTACAGTGAGAACTTTATAAAAAATGTGTCTGTTAGGACAGAAGGCAGCTTTTTTCCCCCAGATAAGAGGGCTTTATGCCTTTATACCTTTATTCTACTGCTCTTATCTTTTCCAACTACTGAATCATCTCCTTCCTAGGCCTTACCAAAGTCCCTCGGCAAGCTGGCCAAGCTGACGAACCTGAATGTGGATCGGAACCGGCTAACATCCCTTCCAGCTGAGATTGGAGGCTGTGCCAATCTGAATGTGCTGTCCTTGCGAGACAATCGCCTGGCCCTCCTGCCACCAGAGCTTGCCAACACCACTGAGCTTCATGTCCTGGATGTGGCCGGAAACAGGTCAGCAGCAGGAAGGGTAAACAGGCCTGCAGGCATGTTCCGAAGGAGGCTGCTGTGAAGGAGCAGTATGGTCTGGGCCATGGTGTGTTTTTGGAGACACTGGATCTGTGCTGATCCCAGGATCCGTGGTTTGGAGAAGCCCAGACTGGCTGCTTAGGGCTCGGGAAAGAGGGTCTGTGTGTGTCTCAAGCTTTGCCTGTTAAGCCCTTCTCCGTGTTACTTGAGTACAGGGTAGAACTAATGCAGAAGTGTGGGGGCATTTTGCCATGTGTGAAATAAAGATCAGGGGAAATCCTTGGTCCACTGTCTTCCTTCCTGCAGATTTTGTAGTTGTGTGTCATCAGTCCTCAGGTGATTGGTGCCAAAGCCTTGTTTATGATGTGCACAGCCCCACAGTGTGCAAATATCTGTGATCTGTTCTGAAAGAGACTGCAGATTTTAGCTGTAGTTCTGTTAGCTGAGGCTGGTATTTTTTGTAGCAGTTGGAAGCTGACCAGAGCTTCAGTTTGGAACACTGTCTGTATACTGGTCCGTGAAAGCGTAATTTTTCTGTCTTCAAACCCCTCTTCAAAGTTCACCATTTTCACATTGTTGATGGGAGTTGTCCTCTGCTAAAAACTGAGGAGGGTGGGTTACTGGAGTCCAGTCTGTGGTTGTGGCAGAGCCATATGCAGCACGAGCCAGCTGCTTCAGTGTGTATAAGAGTGAGGGATGCTGCAGTGGCTTGACTCTGTCCTTCCCCAGAGGTGGGAGCTGGAGGTGAGGCAGTCTGCAGCCGAGTTGAAGTTCCTTCATTACCAACTAAGTTTAACCAGCAGCTCTTCTTTTCTTTTGCAGACTGCAGAACTTGCCATTTGCTTTGACAAATCTTAACCTGAAAGCCCTGTGGCTGGCAGAAAATCAGTCCCAGCCCATGCTGAAATTCCAAACAGAGGATGATGAGAAGACAGGAGAAAAAGTTCTCACTTGTTACCTGCTTCCCCAGCAGCCCTCTCCTAGCCTAGGTAAGAGACTGCATTATGAACGCTGTCTGCAGCGCTGTGTACTTTGGAGAGTGCTGTAGGGAAGAGGCCTTGAACCTTCCTCTCTGCTTGGTTGGACTGTTCTTCGTTACTGTGATACCTGTAGCAGACCTAGGCTCCTGAATGGCTGGTGGCAACTTTCCAAGGCAGAGATTGTTAAAACTAAGAAATTGCTTCTCTGCTAGGTGGTAAAGAAGCTGCAGCCTAGTCTTCAAGTCTTCTGCTTTGATCTATTGACCAAGTAGTTCATTGTCTGTAAGGTTTGCTTCCTGTCATGATGATATTCTTGTGTCAATACTTCTGATTCGTGCCTTAATCCTACCTTTTTCCTTAGTTCTTGGGTAAGGAGTGCTAGAGCTGAACCATTCAGGTCCTTTTGTAGAGGCTGCTGTAGATCTGGTGGGGGATGTACAAGAGGTGACAAGATCTGGAGGCTACATCCTTTGTCCTCAAGGCCTCTGTGGTTTGATGCCATGGACAGATACAACGGAAGTGCCCTAATGCGTTGAGAACTGTCTTTCATCCAAGCCTACAACCCTGCTCATTCAGTAGCTCCCACTGTGTTTATCTTTCTCCCCAGAGAATCTTTTGCAGAACAGTGTGGATGAGAGCTGGACGGACACCAATTTAAACAGAGTCAGTGTGATTCAGTTCCTGGATGAACCCAAAGTAGATGATGAAGAGGAGTCTGGAGCTGAGAGACGGGTAAGAAGAAGAGTTTCTGAAGGCTTGTTAGCTCCCTATGGAAACATAGGCACAAGCTAAACTTTTTTCTTAAGATGGGGAGCCATTATGGTGTTCACGTTTCACCCTGTAATACTGCTGCAGACATGTACCATGTTTTTGCAGTCCGAAGGGCATTTGGTGCCCTGAGGAGAGACAAGCAGGTATAAAAGAGAATTCCCTGAGAGCCTTTGTGCAGATTTACATTTTGACGGCTGTCCCATGGGAGTTGAGCTGTGACTGCTGACCTGCCCATGCAGCATTTGGGTAGTCCAGAGGTCGTAATAGTAAGAGCACTGTCAGGACTGGATTTTAGTTGACCCCTCATGGGGAAGAGCTGCACAGCCAAACTTCAGCCAGGCAATCTCACCCCTCCAAGCATGGAGCCAGATGCAAGCCCATGCTGTGGAGTATCCTGTTACTAAAGTAGCTAAACGCTGTAGACAGACAGCCTCAAAAACTATGGAAGATCATTCTGCTTTAATTGCAGATGCAAAGGGCAGGTTAAAAGTTTCAGTTTTCAGCAAGTACTCTGGTTTAAATCTCCTGCAGGATTTTTTTTCCCTTTTTATCTTGTGGAGAGAGATTCTCTTGAGATCTGAATCCTTCTAATAAATTGTATTTGCATCTGTCCTTGCAGCATGTATATACTGCTGGTGTTTGGAGGTTTTGTTGGGTTTTTTTGATTGTTTTTAACATTGTTACTAATTTTAGAATACTGTGTTTCTTGACTCTTAGCTGGGACGGAACTAGCTAAGCATCACAAATTCTGGTAGCATATGGGCTTGTCAGACATGTTACAAAACACCAGAGGCATTAAGAAGATATTTCACCTGTGTGTTTCTTTAGGGGTTTCTGTGTTGACAGTTTCACATTTATTAACCCTGAAGCACAATTTAAAACTTCCTGTCTATATAATTCCTCCCAATCCCTCTATCAGGTGGAGAGCAGGATAATGTCTGAGGGAGAGCTCTGAAAAGTGTTATCTGCCTCCATTTCTTTCCTCTTCACAGCTGCAGGCTATCGTAGTGGAGAGGCCCAGATCAGATCCTGCAATATGACATTTAGGTCATGTCCAGCTGGGGCTCTAGCACTCTGATAAAACATGTTACTTGAAGTGGTTCAGTCTTGAGGCATGGCACATGCTGCTCTGACTGTTGAATCTCCTGCTCTGAGTGTTTTTCTTTGGTAGGGCTTACAGCGCAGAGCAACCCCTCATCCCAGTGAACTGAAGGTTATGAAGAAAGTGATTGAAGTTCGGCGCAATGAGGTATATGCTGCAAAGCCTGACACGGACCTGAATTCTCCTAACTCAGAAGTGAGTGCTGTTCACTAAGAAATGGATAATCATAGAGAACATGGAGCAGACTTGGGGAATTGGGAGGCAGTTTGTGTAAGCTGGGCAGAAAGAACTTACTTTTGGGAAAGACTGGAAGGGACTGAGCGTGGATTGCCTGGATTCCAAAGATTGGAATCTGCCTTGTGGTGTCAGCTGGGGCCACTCAGAGCAAGAGATGCAACCAGGAGACAGAGAATGGGGTAAGGGGAATTGTGTACATTGGTACCACTTTTGTTATAACATAGGGAGAGGAAAAGAAGGCTCTGATATTTACTGATATTCCCAGTAAAGAGTGATGGGAACGGAGTGCTTGGAGGAGGCATCTTGCTGCCCAGGTGTGATACTAAGAATGAATGCCTACACAGAGGTGGAACAGGGGTGGACCTAGCTGAGATGCAGCAGGCTTGGCAGGGAAAGCAGTGGGCAGCCTGAAGAAAAAGCTGTTTCTGTTGGTACTGGGTCATACCCCACCTCGCACCAGTCACACTACATTGCTCCATCTGCTGCTTTGGTTTCCATCTTGACTTTTACAATCATCTTCTCAGGAGAAGAGGCTGAGCGCCATGTCAAATCGCAGTGAGGACTCCCACCTTTCCAACAGCACTGGCTCTGCTGACTTTAGGGGAGAGGAGGAGGAGGGAGAGAGGAGCTGGCCAAACGGGAAAGTGCCTGAGACGCAGGAGCTGGAGGAGGCGGCAAAGCCCAGAGCTGAAGAGGAGCGTAAGGAAGCTGTTGACCAAGAGGAGGAAGATGTGGAAGTGGAATACAATGAGGTGGGAGCCTAGGAACTGCAGCAGGGTCATGATAAAAAGTGGAAGGACTTGAAGGTTTCAGAGAAAATGGTAAATGGATGTACAGAGTGTGATTTGGGCATCACTGGAGGCAAATACAGGCCATGGAAGCCAAGTGAAAGTAGAGATTCAGGCAGCCTGTGGGATCTGGGTCTACGGGAAACTAGGAAGGACAGTGTGGGTGCCAGACAGGGACTATGGGAAAATCAGGGTTACAGGTTTGAGTGCTCTCAATCTCTGGAGCTGACAGAAGATGGTTCTGGGTGAAGCAGTTGATATGGAAAAAGGCAAGTATGGTGAAATTTTAACATGTATTCCTGCATCTTCTTTAGCACAAAAGCAGCAACACTGGCTTTGCCTGTGTTGGTAGTGGGGGGACAGCAGGTTTCTGCACTGCCTCCAGATATGGCTGTTATCTGAGGTTCACAACCTTTCTGGGGCTTTGCCATTGTAGCCCACTGTACACTTTGCTGAGGACACACTAATACGGAGCGAGGATGAAGATGAAGATGAAGAGCGACCATTCCCAGTGGAAAAACAGAGGCTTATCCGCAAGGACACACCCCATTATAAGAAACACTTTAAGATAACTAAACTGCCCAAGCCAGAGGCAGTGGTGGCACTCCTGCAGGGGCTGAACAGTGATGGAGTCCCCAAAGAGGAAGAGGAGTTAGGAGGCTGCAATAACAACACAGAGCCTGAGGATCAGGAGGAAGCATGGGATGAGGATGACAGAAAGAATAGAGCGTTATCTGCTCAGCCATCAGTGAAGGTAAGGTCTTGTGGGGAGGGGGGAAGGTCAGAGGGGTGCCAGACTTCCCTTCTGCTACTTTGAACTACCAACCAGGCTGATGTGGTACCAATGAAAATGTTGGGAAGAGGCTCCAGCACTTCAGGAGAGACATGCTGAGGGTGGGAGAGCTGAAGTTCATTCTGGGGCTCATATGATTGTCCAAGAGCTGTGCCATGTTGCTTATGTCTGACTCCTTGCGCTGTATCCAGATTCTTGCACCCTCCCCATTATGTGTGATGTTGTGTTCTGTGCTGCAAGAACAGTTCTTTTGTCCCATCACTGACAGGTTCTTCCTTTCAATCGCCTCCTCACTTTCTCGTTGTTGCACCTCATTTGCAACAGGATAAGCTTTATCCCTGGATGGATCTAATCTCAGGCTTGTGTTCAGGCTGCTTACACTTGTCTGTCTGCCACAGTGCTTCCTGGAGAGGAGTGGGTAGTGAGAGCAGACAGGAGCATGCCCTTCCCGTTGGTTCCACCCTGTGCTTGCCCCAGCACAGGTGCAGTCTGATGAAGTGTGCATTGGGATTTAGCGGAACTTGTGCTCTGGAGTTTTGCCATTACCATGGGCCATGGGGCCACGATGGGCCTTTCTGGTTATGCTGGGGGCTTATGAGATAGGAGGTCCTTGGCTATACTCAGCTGAATCACCATGTTTGGTTAGGGGGACACAGAGATTCTTGCTTGAGGAAGATCCTCACAGTGGAATAGAAATATGCTGATGAGGGACGCTGCATGAGGTTAGACCAGTTCTAACTGAAGTTGGTGTGATGATTTTGTGAGGTGTATTTGACAGGCAGGTATTAGGATGTGGCTGAATTTCCATCGTAGTCTGACACCAGCAAATCTCATGCGTGAGATGTGGGTCTCTGAACTGGTGGAAGATGCTGGAGTAAAATCTGTTCTTGCTGTTACCGCACACACTCCAGACTGTTGGGATCATTTCCACCCCACACTGGAGTTCAGATTGCTCAGGGATGGGTTCTTGCACTCAAGTTTGCTTTGGAGCCTTTCTCTCAGTGGATGCTTGCCTTGCTGTATCTGAGCTGATACAGCTTGTCCCTTTCTCCCTAGGGATGAGGCATGTAATTTCCTTACTGTTTGTGAAGTTCTTCAGAATGAAAAGGAGTTGCTGCTGCTTGTAAGAATGTGTGAAGCCATCCTGAGTCCCCTTCATCCAAGACCTGCCATACTTGGGAAAAGCCCTCACCCAAAAAGCATATTTTAGTCAGGGACTCAAAGCTGAGGATGCACTGACCCATTGGCAAAAGCTGTAAAGTCTACATAGGCATTGAGACCACAGGTTTGGTGTATCTATCAGAAAGTTACCTTTGTTATCAGCTAAGCCTTCTGCCTGGAAATCAGTGTTTTCCTTTTTGTGGGGCTGGGTTGGCTGCCTGCTCCATGAAGGCAGATTTATTAGCTTGCCTCCTGAGCTGTCTTCCAGAAGTGGGAATGTGGGGAGCAGTGTCGCTGTGCAGTGGAGTTTCAGGTAAGAGGTGCCGCATACATGCATTGAAGAAGGAAGTAGAACAGGGTGTGCAGGAGTCCTTAAACCAGAGGGTTTTTTGCAAAGACAGTTGGTTTTCAAGAGAAATTCTAAGGTTTCCTGCATGTGGGAGCAGGATCCCTGGGTGCCTGGCAGGATGCACTGTTCCACTGGAGACTCTTCCTTGTGCAGGAGGGACCAATGCAGTTTGATTTGGGATCGCTTCATTCCTCTGTAGCAGCTGGGTGGCACCAGAGGTCCCTTTGTGCTTTTCTCCTGTGTTGTTTAATCCTTCCTTCTTCACTGAATGACTTGGTACAGAGGGAGTAAAATCAGCTAATAGTGTTCAGCTTGTGAGCTTGCTGGTCACGGCCTCAGAGTGCCAACACAGACAAAATACGGCCTTAAAGATGCAGCTTCCAGTTAGCTGGGTCAAAGAGCGCTGACACTCTGCATGTTGTGAGCCCCAGGAGCAGCCCTGTCGCTGGTACTCGCTGGTAGGTGGTAATCAGGAGTAGTGTGAGTGGGGTCTGCTCTGGTGCTGTGTGGCCAGACCTATCAGAGTGGTGTGCATTTGTGTGTTGGGTGGTGGTGGTAGTGGTGGTGGGTTTGGTTTATGCTCCACTAATCCGCATGCCTCTTTGCTGGTTCCTGTCCTAACAGGGGGTGTCGTTTGATCAAGCCAATAATCTGCTGATTGAACCTGCTCGCATTGAGGAGGAAGAGGTCTGTACCACTCCTACTGTTCTCTCTCTGCCAAAAATCATTCAGTCTGCTTGATTTGCTTCCCAGGCTCATCCATTGTTGTAGGGGAAACTCTGAGCTCTCTGGGTCAAGTGGCTTCTGGACCTGACTGATCACAAACACACAATGATTGTTTCCTCCCCTGCTTTC